CTCTCCACTGACATCCCGGCCCCCTCAGCAGAATCCCTGGACACTGCAGCGTACTCTACTGCTCGAGGATCCAAGTCCACTGCGAGGAAAACGCTCCTAAAGGAAGCAGTCCTCAGGCGAAAGAGCGGTCCACCGGCCATGTTGGCCTGTTCCCCTTCTTTGACCCCAGTGCAGCAGCCTCAGACTGGGGTAGCGAGCCATCATCACCACCGCTCACCTCCACCGGGTCAGCAGCAGCGCCCAGAGCCAGCCCCGCTCACCGCTCCAGCGTCCCCGAGCACACAGCGTGGGTCGCCTGTAGCTGAGAGTCAGCACCCCCGCTCCTCCTCTCCATGTGTTCAGCAGCGCTCAGGCTCGGGTCCTGCTTCGGGTGAACCCGCTGGTTCCGTCCACCGAGCTCCTTCTCCGAGGCCGCGTCAACGTCCACTCTTCGCCCCGACCACTCTGATTATTGGAGATTCCATCGTGAGACACGTCCGCTTCTTCAACGCGGTCACTCGCTGTATTCCCGGAGCTACTGTACCAGACCTGCTCATACGGCTCCCTCCTCTGCTTCAGTCCCTGCCTGATACCGTTTCCAAGGTAGTCGTGCATGTGGGAATTAACGACATGAAACTTCAGCAGTCAGAAGTCACTAAGAAACATTTTATGGATCTGTTCCACCTCCTTCAATCCTCCGGACTATCTGTTTTTATCTCTGGTCCAATCCCGACTGTAAGCAGAGGTGACTGCCTCTACAGTCGTGTTGTGGCGCTGCATATGTGGATCCAGGCTACATGCAGCTCTTTTAACTTTGTCTTTGTGAATAACTTTGCCCTTTTCTGGAAACGTTACGAAGCCTATCGTCCAGACGGATTACACCCAAACAGATACGGTAGCAGCCTGTTGATGGGCTACATACGTTATGTTGTTCAGCGTTCCCCGAGGGGGGCGTGACTGTTTACATCTGAGCCCCCTCGGACCCCACCGCACTCCCCCGCCTCCTGCTCACCAGCACCGGGTGAGTACAACGGTGCAAACACTGCTCCCTGTCCGTCTGGCAGTGCATTACCAGTCCAAACACTGAACTGTGCTGACTCCCTTCTGACTCTGGGAGCTAAAGAACAACAAGGGTTTTCACATTTTAGGCCAATTGAGACTGTGTGTGTTCCTCGCACCAGCTCAAAAATGTTTTTAAATTCTAAAAAACGAAATCAAAACAGGACAGCAATTAGACGGTCCAACCCTGCAAATCTAATTTCTGTTCCCTGTAGAAATCAATCAACCACATTAATCGACTCTGACGTTATTTTTAAACTTGCTATGCTTAATGTCAGATCTCTATGTAACAAATCATTTTTAATTAATAATTTTATCACTTCTTATGATCTTGATTTTATGCTTATGGCTGAAACATGGCTGGACCAAAATACAGGAAATGCAGTTCTAATAGAAGCAACACCACCCAATTTTAAATTCGAATCCGAAATACGAGAAAACAAAAGGGGGGGAGGCATAGCTGCAGTTTTTAGAGAGCACTTTGTCTCTCATAGAATGCCCCTTGGAAATTTTTCATCGTTTGAGTATATTTCTTTTAAAATGGAACAAAAGCAATCTTCTACTCTTTTCATTGTCCTGTACAGGCCACCACAGTCATGTTGCGATTTTATTGACCATTTTACTGAACTACTTTCATTCGTGTGCACAGATTTTGATAGTTTAGTTATTACAGGTGATTTTAATGTACATGTTGATAATGTTGATGACAGAAATGCAAAGGAGCTGGCTTCTGTGTTTGAGACCTTTGGTTTCATTCAGCACGTGAGTGGCCCCACCCACAGCAGGGGGCACACTCTTGACCTGCTAATTACAAAGGGGGTTAATGTATCAAATGTTAATGTAGTTGATGTTGCTTTGTCAGATCATTTCTGTGTATTTTTTGACATGTGTTTTGCTAGCAAACCACCAGCTGAATTTACAATTGTTAGAAGAAGACACATACATGAAAACACAAGTGAACTGTTCATGGGAATGCTAAATTTTGAGAAAACTCCATGCTCTACTGTTGATGAATTGTATAACTCTGTCACCACCAGTGTTCTGACTGTTCTGGACGCCATTGCTCCTGTGACGGTTAAAATAGTTACCAGTAAGAAAAAGGCCCCATGGACTAAGGCAGACTCGGTCAGGGCACAGAAGCAAGAGTGCCGGAGGGCCGAACGGAAGTGGCGAAAGTCCAATTTCCAGGGCGATTATGGAATCTTTAAAGTTGAGTTGGGTGAATTTAACCGGGTTCTACGTAGAACAAGAGAAATGTATTTTTCTGACATTATTGGAGGTTGCAGTAACAATTTTCGTGTTATGTTTTCAACAGTTGGTAGATTAACGAACCCCCCTGTAAAGTTGCCCCTAGAATTTTCCTCTAAATCTAGGTGTAATGAGTTCGCACAGTTTTTCGATGACAAAGTACAAGGAATCAAAAACACTATCACCCCCACAGCACGTATAACAATGCAACAGCCAGAGAAGCTTTTTGAGCTAACTCACTTTGCACCTGTGGATACTGAAACTGTCAAAAAGATAATCATGAGTCTGAGCTCCTCCACATGTAGCCTGGATATATTTCCCTCTAAATTTCTGAAGTCCGTCCTGAGCAGTTTGTTACCTTCACTGACACAAATAGTAAACATGTCTCTGTCGTCAGGAACATTTCCTATGGCCCTAAAAACAGCAGTCATAAGACCTCTCCTAAAAAAGAGCAGTCTGGATTCTGCGGGACTTCAAAATTATCGCCCCATATCGAATCTGCCATTCATTGGAAAAATTCTTGAAAAAGTGGCCTCCCAACAACTTACTGAATTTTTAACAATGAATAATTCTTTTGATATGTTCCAGTCTGGGTTTAGACACCACCACAGCACTGAGACCGCTCTAGTGAAGGTAACAAACGACATTCGACTTCACACTGATGCAGGTAAAGTCACAGTTTTGGTCATGTTAGATCTTAGTGCCGCGTTCGACACTGTCGACCATGAGATCCTCATGCAGAGACTGGAGGACTGGGTTGGTGTCACTGGCACAGCCCTAGACTGGTTTAGGTCTTACCTGGAGGATAGGAAGTACTTTGTGGAGATTGGAGACTGCGTCTCAGATCATGTGGCCCTGACCTGTGGAGTACCACAAGGGTCGATCCTGGGACCTCTCCTATTTAATCTCTACATGCTGCCGTTAGGTCAGTTAATACAAAGAAACAAAGTGTCCTACCACAATTACGCCGACGACACTCAGATCTATGTCTCACTGACTGCAGGAGAACATGGACCACTGGATTTGCTCCTTCACTGTATCCAACAGATCAGTGACTGGATGCAAAATAATTTCCTCCAGCTAAATGCAGACAAAACCGAAATCATTGTCTTTGGTCCCCAGAAACAAAGAGAGGGCGTCATTTGCCAACTTCAGTGTCTCTCCCTACTTCCTTCAGACAAGGTCAGAAATTTGGGGGTAATACTGGACTCAGACCTAAACTTCAATAGCCACATAAAATCAATAACATCAACAGCTTTTTACCATCTGAAGAACATTGCCAAAGTTAGAAATATAGTGTCCAGGGCAGACTTGGAGATTCTTGTCCATGCATTTGTCTCCAGTAGGCTAGACTACTGCAATGGCCTGCTTACAGGTCTGTCCAAACAGACCTGTAAGCAGCTGCAGTACATCCAAAATGCAGCAGCTAGAGTCCTGACAGGAACCAGGAAGTATGACCACATTAGTCCGGTCCTCAGGTCACTGCACTGGCTTCCTGTGGCTCAGAGAATAGATTTTAAAACAGCTCTGCTTGTGTACAAGTCTCTCCATGGCCTTGCACCAAAATACATTAGTGACATGTTGGTGTCATATGAACCAGCCCGGACTCTGAGGAGCACAGGGACTGGCCTCCTGCTGGTGCCCAGAGTGAGAACCAAACATGGGGAGGCTGCGTTTCAGATCCATGCAGCTAAGATCTGGAACAATCTCCCTGAAAATGTGAGGGAGGCGTCTACTCTGTCAATGTACAAATCCAGGTTAAAGACTGTTCTGTTTGCCTGTGCATACAACTGAAGGATTTTATCTGCATTTCTAATGCACTGTTGTCATTTTTTTTTTTTTTTTTTTAATTTCTTGTGTAATTTTGAAAGTTTTAATGGTTTTATTCTTTTGTGTGATTTTAATGTTTTAATTGTGTTTTAATCTTTTGTGTGATTTTAATGTTTTAATTGTGTTTTAATCTTTTGTGTGATTCTAATGTTTTAATTGTGATTCTGGTGTTTGTTTTATGTGATGATTTGTGATGTGGACTGTGAAGCGCTTTGTGTTGCCCTGTGTATGAAAGGCGCTCTACAAATAAACTTTGATTGATTGATTGATGTTGATATTTGGCCCATTTCACAAATTTCCCTCATTTTCTACATTGCCAGGTTAAGATAAGATAAGATAAATGAATGAGACATGTACATGTTACATTTTGCTTCAATAAGATCACTCAGGGTGTGCAAATGGAAATGTGCAAACAAGCCATCTTTTGTACAACAGAGGTTTCTTATGTACAATTTTAAAAGTACGAGTTTGCCGTCCTACTGCAGGCTGTCACTAACTTATTAATGGTATTTGTTAGATTTGTTATAGATTGGACTATTTAATAAACAATTACAAACTTATTACCTAGTGTTTGGACTCTAAAAATGCATTATTTGAATAGATTTTTTATGATTTGTGCAACATAATGTATGGATTTGACAGTATAACACAAAACATATTTCCCAGTCTCAGCGGGGAAGTGGAGTGAATCAAAAAGTTTTATTGGGGAAAGATAAGATATGGCTATTTGTTAAACATTTCTTCTTGACTGAAAATCACAATGTTCCAAGAAAAAAACCCCAAACAAAATCTAAATTTAAATGAACTTGCTCTTTTCTGCTCTGACCACCAGGCCTTTCGGAGCGTCTCTGCAGAAGGCACCTCGGCTAATGCGTGCCACTCACTCGTGTTTGGGAGGGGACGGGATTACAGAGATGATCCCGCCATTCATCTGGGCTCTAAACACTGGCCCTGCTAATTCCCTTTTGATGAGGCGTGCTAAATAAATCCAATTTCCACGCCTTTGTTCACGTGTTGGAGTCGTGGTGTGCCGATCAGACATTGCGCACGGGTGGGGGGGCCGCGATCACAAAAGGGGAGCGTCTGCTGGTTGGCCCGGTCCGGTCTGGAGCTGCCTCATTATGCCGTCCGGTGGAAACATTCCCCGTGGCAATGCAGCCGGAGCGCTCGGAGGAGGACCGTATTCCCACAGCGCTCAAGGGACGTCAGATGGACCTGGGGGGGGAACGGAGCTGTCTCTTTGGAATGTAAAGCGAGTCAAAATGTTTAGCACCAGGTTTCCTAGAATTCTGAAACTACTCAAAATCCCAGAGCAGATATTTTGTGAAGATTTGAGGAAATGGGTGGAGTCTGATCTGCTCCTGCTGGGTCTGACAGAATAACCGGAAGCCACAGCGGCCCTTTCTGGACCGGTTTGGAGACTTCTGGCATGAGACAAAACTAGGCAACACACACACACACACTTAGACTATACACCATCCCTAAAACTCTCCGACCCAACACCTTTCTCGGCCCTAAAAATAGCCCTGTTTCCACCAGCCCTACTCTACTTTACACGGAGCTGGTACTAAAGTGTGCAAACAGACAAAGATTGGTTACCATAGATTTTCCCCGGATACTACTTTGTTGTGGGGTTGCTAGGATACGGTACCAGATACTAAAGTGTAATGGAAACACAACCAGGTAGAGTAGAGTATTATAGTAGGGCCAAGCAGGGTTGGTGGAAATGTGGCTGAAGACAGAGAGAGTCTTGTCATCTAATTAGAAAACAAGTAAAATATCTACACAAAATCCACACCATGACAAGCTGACTGTGACCTGCCTGTTCTGGAAGTTCTTTATGAATCCAGATTCTTAAACCATGTCAAAAGCCATGTTCCAGCTTCTTCTCTCTGGCAGAAGATTGCTCACTGAGATGCAGGACATCTCGACATGCTAACAGCTTCTTCCCACAAGCTCTTATCAGTCTGACCAAAGCACTTTAATGATCTTGCACTTGCTTTTGTTGATGTTTTGTCCTAATGCACACTGGGGGACTTTTGCACATGTATTCCAATGTGGTTTTACTGCAAATGGCAAATAAACTGAATCTTAAAACGAGACTCAGGAACTAGATGCATTACATTACACAGTCCCATTTGTTGTGGTTCAGAACAAATGTTTTGTTAACACCTTTTTTTCCCGTGATGTGCTGCATTACTTTCTCTCTCCTCTCGTCTTCTCTCTCCATCTCTTTCTTCTCTCCTCCTCTCTCTCTCTTCTCTCTCTCCTCTCCATCTCTGTCTCCTTTCCTCTCCTCTCCATCTCTCTTTCCTCTCCTCTCCATCTCTCTCTTCTCTCTTCTCCATCTCCCTCTCTCTCCTCTCCCCTCCATCTCTCTCTCCTCTCCACCTCTCTCTCCTCTCTCCATCTCTCTCCTATCCTCATCATCTCTCTTCTCCATCTCTCTCTCCTCTCCTCTCTCCACTCTCTTCTCCTCTCTCTCTCTCCTCTCACATTCCTCCAGCAGACACGTACACATGTTTACTCGACGTGGACTCTCCGGGACAGATGCGGGACATGGGTGGAGGGGGTGGAGGGGGGAGTTGGTGTATTATGGGCTGTTTGGGGTGACCGTCTGAGGAGGATGCTCTCTCTCCCCGGTGCTAACAAGCTCCGGTCTCTCTGCAGCCGTGTCTTTTATTAATGGCAGCAGCTGGGTGCGCTGAAGGGACATGCTCCGGCAGACAAAGGCCCATATATAATCATAAGTGGTAACAAACGACTCCATGTAAATGAGCGGAGGGGGATTTTTTTATTTATTTTTGGGTTGGAGAAAATAGATCTAGGTTAAGTTCGTTCAGTGATACAAACAAACGAGGAGAGAAAAAAATATACTGTCTAACTTTAAAAATATGTGCTTTCATTGAGTGTTTAACTATTTAAACAGAGGTCATTACTTCACGTGTTATACAGTATTTACAATAATGCAATAAATATTTAAAACCGCTGATAGGAGCTGGTTCATTGGATGAAAACACCGGTCTACAACTCTTCAAGTGCATACAGAGAAATGTATATCATCATTAGGACTTCAGCTGTAGTCAATCAATGAATTATTTATCTGTATAGCACATTTCGTGTACAAGGCAATTCAAAGGGTTTCACACAAGCAATTTAAAAACACAGATCCAAGTGTAAAAAAAAAAAATCATAAAGGCAATACCACATACAATCATTTCATCTTAAAACACAGTAGTATAAAGTATTGGCCTTAAAGAAGCAGTCAATGATTTCTCCAAATACATTTTCTAATAACTGTGGGAAACGTCCCTATACCCCAAATTTTGTCAAATAATCATGTGTTTTCAAATAGGAATGGACACGAACCAATGTCTGAAACCTCAAAAAATAGAATCAGTTTTATGCACAGCCACCCAGATATGTTTTCAACAGTCAGTCCTCGTTCTGCAGCCTTAGTCCGGGATCTACGGTGAGAAACCTTAAGGAGGCCTGTCCCTCTGCTCCTCAGAGTCCGAGTTGATTCCAGTATTTGTCCCCTTTGTTGCTTGTATCACTGAACAAGTCTTAACCTAGATCTATTTTCTCCAAACCATGCAAACCCATCGTGACTGCTAAATGACCAGTGCCCTGTGGTCCCCTGCTCTCCCTACAGACCACTGACCCCTGCTCCATGGGGGGGCGGTGGTCAAGTGCTGTGGGAGCTGCCCCTGAGCTGCTCATTCCTCTGCTGTTAGCGTGGTTTAGGCCACAGACGTGCCCACGCACACAGGCCGCAGCTTACAACCCCCCCTCCCACACACACACACACACGCACACACACACAGACACACACATCCACGGTTAAATAGACTCCACCTGCATTGGCTCCACTTAATTGAGTTGAATTTATAATGATTCATGTTTTGATTTTCACGTCTGTGTGGCGTGGGGCAAATACAGGAGGGTCTCAAAAGTGTAGCAGTGGTATCGGAACACAGACAGAATACAACACGTTTACTAGAAATTTGCAATTTTCTTAGAGCAAAAATGTAACACTAGTTATCCAACAATTATGAGTCTACAAGAACTCCCAGAGCCTGCTCCCATTCAAACCAATCGAATTATGAGAAAAGTTATATATTATAGAATTTTTTTTTTTTTGACCATGACTTTTAATAATTGCTAAAACTGGTAAATATAACTTTCAATACAGCCAAAACAGTTTGGTGAAAGGCTAATGCTTAAGATCAAATACTATCGGCTGACAGTAAACAGTGTGTTGCCATGGTGCCCAGAACTCCAAGCTGAACATGGTCCAGAACCAGTCCAAAATCAGCCCACGACTGGTCTAAAACCAGTCAAGGATCTTTAAAACTTCTAACAAAAAAATAATGACTAAGAAATAAAGATAAAATATGTATATATACTGAGAAATTATTAGTTATAAATTGACCGGTTCCGGGAATTAATTCTATATCCGTGCTCTCGTTCCCACACGCATGTATTTGTTGGTCTCTGTTTCAATTTAAAATTCAAACTTTATATATTTGTGAGAAACTTCATATACGGACAGAGCACCAGTGAGGACACATAACACATAGTCTGTTTCAGCCGAAAGGTCATCTCAGCAACTAATAATTATTCAATTATCAGCCAAAAATGTAATTGTTGAACCAGTTGTCCCCCCAGCCTCTGTCGCTCACAAACCAATCACACCAATAAGTCCAGAGCTCTCTGCAGACATCTGGGGAAGTGGCATCTTGCTTGTTCCAACCCTGGTCTTGCAGAACAGCTGAAACGAGGACCGTGATGCTTTGTTACAGGACGACGGCTTACCCCCAATTATGGAAGCTCCGTCATGTAAATCACACTCACTCTGGGATTAGAGCCTCCCAAAGAGAGGTGGCATAAACAGCGACGGCCGCTCGCAAACGGCTAATTATTGAGGCCGTGAATGGGAGATTTTGTTTCAGTGATCGATGTTTGGCTCCATCACTGCAATTCCAGGGGTGTCAGGTAGCAGCAGGATCCAGAACAAACTGAGGGAAAGGCACTTCTGCAACTTTGAGAATGGGTGACGAGGAGGTCAAAGAGAAAAGTTTAAAGAAACTTGTCCTGACTCTGGACACCACCAGAAGGCCAGTCCCTGATCTCCTCAGAGACCGTGTTGGTTCACATGGCACTAACATGTCCCAAATTTGTACAACTCTCTCCTCGCTCTCAAAACAGTTTGGCTCTGTCCCTTGTTTTCAAATTCATGTTTTCCGGCATCGGCCATATGTTTAAATCAGCTTTTTCAGACAGAATGAAACATAAAGAGAGGACCGCCATCACTCAACTTTTCAGACTAAACTATGCAACGCTTTTAGCCCCCTAGCCTTATCAGCCCTATAGCCTCAGTCCTTGTCCTACAGCCTGAGTCCTGGATCTATAATCTGGAAGGGGATCCCTCTCTCAATGAGGAGGACAGGAGTGCATGTATACTGAGACAATGGCCTGAATGTATACTGAGAGAAGAATGGTCTGCATCTATGCTGAGACAAAAGATAGGTATTTTAAATGGTTTTGGCACTGAAAATAGCACCTTATGCAGATAGATAGATACTTCATTGATCTCCATAGGATAAATTCAGGTGTCCAGTAGCAGTAGAAATACATCCATCCATACAAACAAAACAAATATGGTGTGCAATCCACGAATCTTGGTGCTGTAACCTAGACTAGCCTAGCCGTGGCTGCTGCTGTTGTCTCACCTCCTTTCAGATACGCCCTCTTTATTCAAGGCTAGGTTTTAAACAGTCCTCTTTAGTTTAGCATATGGCTAGGAAGGTATGACTCAGGGAAGGCTAAACTCCTCAGACTGTCAGTCAAGCTGCATAGGGAGTCAGTTTGCTGGGAGAAGTATGGTAACTTGAGCACTATCCTCTCCTCCTTCCTACTTTATCTGTT